CAAAATTTTCAAGGCTCCCATGCTGTTTACTATTAAAGGGTCTCCCTGCTCAAAGACTCAGAGCACGTATGCTTTCGAGATGTCGTGTGAACCACATGACCCAAAAGGGATTTCTTATTTTTAAATCAGGTCATGACTCCAATAACTTTCATATTCCCAGCTGACAAGAACACAGATCTCACCACCAGCAGCGACGCCACAGCTCGTGAGCTTCCCAAGGCTGCCACGCCAGCCCAGAGACCATCCCCAAAGACAGAGCACTCTCTGCAAGCTACTCATGTTTAAGCAAAGCAGGAGCACTGTCTCCTCATCTCAGCAGGCAAGAGGACCATTTATCATTTTCTTTTCCAAAACTCTGTTCATAACCCAGCCACTGGGTTCTAACCATGACTTTTACCATGCAAGGAACACAGGGGACTGTTTTTAAATAAATACTTAAACAACTACTACTTTTAAGGAGAGGCTTTTACTTTAAATTAGCTACCTTACAAAGGGAATAACTTCCTAATTTTCTCCAGGTTATTAAGAACTCATAGCATTTACAACAGATTTCACACTTGCAGAGCACCCCATGTTCCAAAAAAACTAAAAAAAAAAAACCAACAAAAACCCCAAAACGCACTGCAGATTTATAGGCAGCTGAGGCCAAACTGATTCACTTTTGTCACTGAAAAGAGGCCACTTCTTGGGTGACACATGGCAACAGTCTACACTAACCAAGAACAGTGAGCCTGTTTGTTTGTGGGAGTGAAGAGAAGTCAAAGCCTGGATTTTAAAAGAGAAAGATCAGTACTGAATAATGCTTTCCCCACAGAGATGTCCTCACAGCTTGAGGATGCAGTGCAGTCAGCACCAAAAATCTGCAAAAGTCAGCACCACTGAATCCTGCAGTGTACTAACAGTATGCTTATTCTGTATTGCAAGGGTTTTATAGCAAAACTATACCTGAGTAGCATTTACTGGTGAAGGAGAGTTTAAGACAAGTTTTAGTCACAGATATCAAAATAAATTATACCATCAAAATATGGGGAGAGGGTTGAGCTTCTGAAAACCATGCAAAGTTTGTTCATCTGAGCAGGTGAGGAGTAACTGTAGTTGGTAGAATATCTGTGAAACTTTGGGGACATCTTTGTGCATTTTGCCTTACAAAACTACCAAAATCACAGGTCAGTTTGGAATGGAGGCTGAGAAGTGACACCCCGGGGTATCTGAGCCCACCTCTGCACATCATGAGCACAGAGGGAAGTGCCAAACTTGAGTATTGGGTTTGTATTGACCATTTGCATGCTTGTAGATTTTCAGTTCCACACATAGCCTGGGATTGGTGCCATCCTAATAATAATCTTCTGTACAGCCTGTAACAGCTCTAAATTCATCTTCCCTTACTGAAATGCCACAGCTCAGTCCAACAGGCATTTATGAATGTTATCATAGGCAAAAAGATGATGTGGGGGAGTGGAAACATATTACCAGTGCTTCCCTTAGACTCATTCAAAAGAAGAGATTTTCCTGCTGAAGGTGAAAAAAAATGAAAAAGAAAAAAGTGTTCTTGTATGCCAGTCTGCAGGTTAAAGGTGCAGTATTTGAATATGGCTTAGAAACTGTATTTAACAAAGAAAATGATATTGTGAGTTAAGGAAGGAAAGCCAAGAACAACAGTCAGCAGGATATAAAGATCAGTACGTTTTTGTTCAGAAACAGATACATCATAAAAGTGAACCAGGAAAACATTTAATATGGAACATGCCTTTGAATAACCCTCTCCTTCACTAATCCCCTTCTACAGAAGCACAACAAAAGCCATATTTCCATGCTGAAACATGCATACAGTACCTCTGAATTCTCTAACATGCCAATCAGGAGCAAAGTGAAAAAAGGAAGACAAAGGAATAAAATTAGGATAAACACAACATACAGGACTCACATATTCAGTAAGACTCGCTCACATTGATTAACATTTCTTACAAGAAAAACATTAAAATGTATTTAACAAATATAACATCTTAGTAAAGAAAAAAAAGCAAACCCGGTAAAGACAATTCTAACAGCAAAGGGGGAAGGAGCCATGGTTACAGAACAAATCTGACATCATAAATCATCACCACAGCACAGAGGAAGAATTGTTCACTGACAGTCAGCTCCTACTCCCACAGCTGCCAGTGACAGAAGCAGCTGATGTCAGAAGTGTAGGATTCAGATACGTAGAATGAGAAAGGATGAAACAAAATTATTACAATGGAGATTAAAAATAGCACCTTATCCTTCCTCCCATTGCAGAATTAATTTGCTAGTCTATGCAAACAAATCAAACAGATTGTCCAGATGAGGAGCTGGATGGAGCTAACCTGTTCAAGACTGCCTAGCATATCAGGTAAAGATCTGAGCTGGATGTCCAGGCTTGTTCTCCATCCTGGAATCAATGAAGACTGCCTTGTGTCCTAGTTCCTCTTTTTTTGAAGCTCCTGAGACTAGCTTACAACTCCCTTGTTGCCCATCACCATCAGCTTCACTGGAGAAGTCTTCTTTTGTAACATACTCCCTCCATCTGTTAGATCAGTGGGACAGAAGGGAGGGAAGAGGAACCTGATAGTGACCTCCTCAGTGTGCTGGGTTGCTCTTCATACACAAACCCAGCGTTCACTGCTCCAAAACAAAGCCAGCACTTCCCTTTGTTCACTGCAGAGCACACACACCAGGCCCAGGGGAGCTGAAGGCTTTGGTATCCCCTCTTTCTATCAGCTAGAAAGGTGAATCACTGAATGAAGGCTGATCAGAATAAGATGTCTGAGAAAAACTGATCAGAAGTATCTGCTTCCCTGCTTTCTACAGAACTCCAAACTGTCTTGAGCTCTTATTCCCCCCATTCTTTATTCTCCCCCTTTCTAGGTCCATCCCTTCACATGATATCTTTTCTGGTGCTGTACTAGACATTTCTCTCTTCTGACCACCACCCCACAAACTGAACAGACCAGGAGGTAAGGGCAAAGCAGAGCTGATCCCTGCAAAGCTGGGCTGTACCCTGGTGCTAACTGTGAAAACCAAACTTCTTGGATGACCTTGCATGAGTTCCAGTGAGCTTTTGGTGTCAGTTGTGGTGTGATTTGCAACAGGTCTCTTTTCTGATCAAGCCTCCACGATTTAAATAATTTCCAGTATCTAACAAATTACAGAATTTCACACCTAGGAAGCTGGTTTTCCTGAGACATCTTTGCCTTCTCCTATGCCTTCAGAATAAACCACTGAACAGGAGGTGTTTCTCTAAGCTCAGACAAAAACTATTCAGTTGTTGCAATGTACTTATGAGGGAAAAAACCCTCTCTTGATGAGCCTTTTTTTTTTTTCCACGCAAAGTATTTTTAGCATCTCCACTTCCTACATACTTAGGCAGTAAATCCAGTTCCCTTATTTCTGGAAGTGCTGATCAGATGACTTAAGCATCCTTTAGGTGGAAGAGCACGGCCTAGTGGTAGGAAAATGAAACATGGGCCCGTCCCACTTCTTCACTTTCCTGCCACAGCTTGACACAGAACCTCACACCAGTCACAGCTGAAAGCTACTTTTGAACTGATTCCAAAAACTGAATGCCCAAGTAACTGTTGTATCAACAGAAGACTTTAAAAGGGAAACAGCACAGTAAATGCCTTTCTTTTCTTTTATTCTTTAGGGCAACAGTATTGCTGTGAGCTGAAGGATATAAAGGAAAAGATGACTTGTGAGGAGTAATTGCTTTTCTTAGACCCACTTATACAGCAGGAAAAAAACGCTCAAGTTTTTGTGCTCAAAATGTCTCTCACCTGAGACATTTTATAAGATACCTAATGAAAGGCCTCAGATTAAAACTTGACTTCTGGACACATCAACTACATGAGCTGGTCTAATAAAAGCCATTACTTCTCCTGCTGAGGTCCTTTGTTATGAGATGGAGAGAGACAGTGAAGGCTTCTGTGACATGACATCTAAGCCCTGAAAAGGGGAACTCGGGGAGCAGGAGAGGGAAATTCACAGTTTCACTGACCTTTTGCTACCTTGTGGCTTGTCAACCAGGCTAAAACTTGATGAAGGGGAGAGGGACCTGCATAATGCTGTCACACCAAATGACTGGGTTTTTTATAAGATCACAGAAGACTCCCATAAATCTGCAGTCCCATGAACCAGGATGAAAAATCAAACTCATGTGCCCCAGTCAGAGAGCCACCAGACAATGACAACTATTCACTGTGACTCTACTGGATGAAGTTCTAATGAAAAGTCAGTATCATCAAGTGAATTATGTCAGATGGAAGCTGGGGGGTAGGGTTGTTCTGTGGGGTTTGGGTCTTTTTTATATTATTATTATTATTAAACTTTTGGGAGGAAGGATCACAAGATACAGTAACTCTCATGTTGCTGATGCTTCAGGAAAACAGCAGAACCAGCAGCTGCTAAGTCCCTCATTAACCAGTGGAGTCAGAAATAAAAATAAGGACAGTTATGACCCTTCAGACTTAATACTTGCTGTGGAAGTTTGTTGTGGTCTCCAGAACTTAGGTGAGGCATAAATGGCAGACACACAGGCTCTGAAAATGACATGGATCTTCCTGCCTACTACCAAGGGGACTGAATTTCTGCAGCTGGCAAACTTTCAGCCTGTATTTCGCAGAAGGTTTGCCACTTCTGAACTTTGAGAATCCGATGGAACTACTATGAAAAAGAAAAGAAATAAAGCTACAGACACAGAGTCTGAGAGTACACACATATCCCATGGTAGTACTTGAACCCACGTTAAAAGCATAACAACCCACTTGTAACAATAATATCCAGACTAAAAACAAAACAACAACAACAACAATAAAACAACAAAACCCCAAATAAAGAAAAGGCCCAACAAAGCCAAACCCAAAGTCTGTGTAGCCTCCTGGTAAGAAAAGTAAAGCAGCACTCATGATCACCTCACTAGTCTTGTCCCAAGCTCTTGCAACAAGCACCTGTAACAAAGTACTGGTAACATGAATTTTCTGTACCTGCATCTTCCTCTTGACAGTCTCAAAGGGGAAAGAAAGTGTCTGGGCCACACCAGCTGCTACACAGCCATTTATGAAGTTCTGAAGAGGAGTGAACCGAACTATGGGCTCTTGCCAGATTTTGTCCAGACTGATGTAAACAAAGAATGAGCCTGCAGAAAATGGGACAGCACCTAGAAAGCAAACAAGACAGGTTTATCTCAACACACTGTACATTAAGAGAACAGAGCTGCTCACCACACAGCCTAGAAAGACGGGAGGAGTTGCTGCCAGTTTACACCTTGCATTCCTCAAACCCAATCCAGATTTTGAAGAACTTTAGTCTATGGTTTGCCACCAAACACCCATATTGTAGCATCTAGATGTGCAGTTAGGGACATACATTTACATATTAAAACTTGCATGTTATCAGACCGAACTGCTTTAGACTCATGACAGGTCAGTTCTTTCTCCAGGTTACCTTTTTTCTGACAAGCTCTTTCCCAGTCCAACCCAACCCTAGCACTTGTATAGGTAAACAGAGCTATGTCTTCAGTCAAGCTCATGAAGGATAATTCTGGTCTCTTTTGCTTGTTTCATGCTCTCATCAATTTTATAGTGGGATTATACATTTATTATTGTTGTTGTTGTTAGGCATTTTTTGTAGTGTCGTTGTGGAAAAGTGGACTCAAAGTTAAATGGCATTTTTAGAGGCTATGGAGAGTAAATAAATAATTAAAATGTCATTTTAAGTAAAGACAGAATACAACTAATCTTAACCTTTCACATCAGTTATGCACTGCTTGCTCATACTGGTTTTGCTGAACCGCTTGGGAGACACTCTCACACCTAGACAGCAATTAGGAATACTCTGTGTGTGTATATATTTAAAGAGTTTAATAGTGAAAATCATGCATCCAAGCACAACTACTACCTATATCTACTACTATCATCTATAAAAAAAGGTAAAGAGGATACATAAAATGCTACACACATGGTCATGATTTGAAAGAATAAAGCTGCAGCAGAGGTAATCAGTATTGCAGTGCCTTGTAAATCTACACATCTTCTACAAGAAAACATTTCTACTTGCTTTTGAAATCAAGTGAGCAAGTGAACCCACTACACAGCTGCAACAAACAACAGGCAATGAAGTGACTTCCCTTTTATTTTTACCTAATATAGCTGGTGAAACACCACGGTAGAGAGCACGGAGTCCTTCTTGACGATAAATTTTGTAAAAAGCATGAAGAATTCCCTCATAAGATGGTTCCAGTCGGTTCTGCACAATGAGCCGTGTTTTAATCACGTCAGTGGGGTATGTCACGATGGTTGCAACCATGCCAGCCAGACTTCCTGCCATGATGGCTCTCCAGTGGGAGACATGACCCAGCTCATCCGCGAAAAGTATAACAAGTCTAAAGTAAACACATAAAAGAAGTCCTATTAGTGACACTGTGAACGTGAAAACACATGAAAAATTAAGGAAGATAATTCCTGATGCAATTGTTCTTCTGCCCACAGGCCCTTTCAGCAGCAGGAATTGAAACTTTAATATGTAAATCATCGAAGATCTTTATGTAACACCACACAAGCATCCATCTACAGGGTGAAAATCTCCCTTTTACATTTTCATCTACTGGATGAAAATTACCATGACTCAAAACACGTCTGCATGAAATTATCTGATCATCAGTCATCAGTTAGAGACATTGATCCAACACACCAGCCAAAGTTATCTTGTAAGAAGAAATATGTAGATAATGTCATCACAGGCCTTCCGACAGCAACTGAACCTTCCTCTGTTGCTTGTGTTAGAACAGGAGGATCCACATGGATATGCCTCTAGAGAAGACTTATGTCCAGGCACTACTATGCAGAGGAGGTTAAGTCTAAATTTGAAATTTTGAAATTGAAGCAGAGTTTTAAAGGCTACACACAACTCGTGCATTTGTGCTGCAGAGAAAGACTTTCCTGTGGCAAGGCACTCGTACATCAGGGAGCAGTGTTATGGAGGCAGCAAGAAGCAAGTAAAAACATCCAAGAGGAGAGTTTTAGCTGGAGGTAAAGAAACTTATCCTATTTTGGAAGCATTAACTAAACTGCCTAAACAGCAGATCTACATGTAACCCACATGGTGCAACCATGTCCAAAACAAAATGATTTGCAAATATTTACAAGTCACTGCTTGCTCGGCTGATGTTTTTTCACAGGAACGTGCATTTGCTACTGGATGACAGATCCCTACACCTACTTGTCCTGAGCCCTGGAAGAGCCCAGGGCAGAAAGCCCAACCAAGCAGAAGCAAAAGGGCATAAACTTTTTTTCCCACGTGTCTTGTACAGTCCTTAAACCCACACTGCCTGATTTTCCTGTGTGTGCACAAATGCGTGGGGAGGGTGGTGAGGTGTCTCCAGGTACTACCCAGATAACATTTGAAACTGCCACAGAATGACAGCCCGTGCCCAGTAATTGCTGATGGAGTGTGGAGTCAGCCAACCCGCCCTTGCCCAGCCAGCTCCACCCACACCCCTGTCCCCAGAGTGCTGGCTGTGCTCAGCCCCACTCCTCCTGCCACTGGAATTACCATTTACTTAAGCTGCCCTCTAACACTTCTCTTTTTGTGTTTCTTGCCTTCATACACACCATTCTCCTACTAGAAAACACATTGAAAAATCCCCAAATAATGTATCAAGGAATAAGGATTTATTTTCATATTTATTTAATTTCCTGATAGCCTACTTCAATGTGATGTTCAGAACACCCTGTGCAAATAGAGACAAAATATGGCCTTGCACAGGGAATACACTGTTTCAAGCTAAAAGAACAGTGACGTTAGTTAGTTCTTTTGCTCAAAATCGACTGGTTTATACTGGTGCAACACACCACCTTTTCTGGGAATTTTAAATGACGTTTAAATCACTGTTTGTGCCTTCCCACTGCCATTATCCCTCCCCTGTGACCACTGTGTGTATTATGGCACAACAAAGCTGCCCAGTTTTAGGGTCACTTCATCTGTGGTCTCCTGAAGGGCACAGGCAGCACTGGGTGAGTGACCTGCTGGGGCAGATGAGTGACAAACCCAGCGGACTGGCAGTGCCAGTGAGCCCAGGCTGCTGCCCAAGAACCGAATAACCCACCGCCCAGCTGGGTGGAAATGTCATGTGCTGCCGTGAACAGCTGACTGTGATAAAAAAAAAAAAAAATAGAAGAACGAAGCCCAACCCCCCGAGCGGCAAAACATGCTGGTGCGTGCGAACAGTCAGGCACTCCCTGGAAGGGCTGAGAGATACTGGCAGAAAACGGGAATCCCAGGACACAGCACGGTCGGCAGAGCTCGGTCAGCACTGCTCCATGTTGATCCCGCTGCAGCCCTTCCAGCGTTTACCTTAGTTTAGTGGCAGTGCATTATCGAAAACAAGATCTTAAAACAAATAATGTCACATATCAACGTCAAAACTTATCTAATTTGCTTAACAACTGCTGCACAACCGGGTAAAATATTTGATTCGTGATTTCGCTATTTTCTTTGATATAGACAACATAAATACTCGAGAGCGTATAAATGAATAAAATAAATTGGCTGCAAAGAACAGATGTGGCAGCCACATCTGCGCGTTGTGCTGTAACTTCATTTCTAAAGGAACCTGAGCAGAAGAGTTTTAAGACTATTGACCCTTCATGACTTGAAAGAACACCTATGACTTTATAAGAAACTGCTGGTGACTAACACCTAGACTTTATAAGCAATTGCTGGCATACCACCAGGCCCTCGGAATCGCTACGCGCTGAATAAACTAAATAAATTATTAAGAAATTATTAACAAATTACGATTCAGGGTCCGTGCCTTTGGGGGGAGAGAGGGGGCGCAACCAGAGACATCAGACTAAACTCTCCACCTTCCCCCCCGCGTTCGCAACAGACAGGACAGCCGGGGCGAGCGCGGACCCTCCGGGAGCCCCCCCGGCCCCTTACCGGCGGGAGGCGGCGATCTGGAGCGCGCTGTAGGGGCAGAGGCGCAGGCAGGCGGTGAGGTTCCCCTTCCAGCAGCGGCCACAAGCAGGCCCTCGGTGGCGGCACAAAGGCAGCGCCCCGGCTTCGCGCAGCCCCCGCCGGCAGTCCAGGTGCCCACCTGCGCCAGCACTCGTCAGCAGCTCCAGTCGCGCGCCGTCTAGCTCAAGCTCTAGCGCGCCCGCCAGCCCCGCGCAGCCCAGCCGCTGCAGCCGCGGTCACCCCGGCCGTCCCGCCGCAGCGGTGGCCATGCGCCCCGCGGGCCCCGCGGCGCGGATGGGAGCGGGAGCGCGGGGAGCAGCGCCCCGCTCGGCCCAGGGCCTCGGCCCGCCCGGCGGGCGCGGTCAGCGCTGGGGGTCGGCACCGCCCGCCTCGGCCCGCCGGGGGCGCCTCCCGCCGCGGGTGCGCTAGTGCGGGGGCCGGTAAGGAAAAACACGGAAAAGCGGATTCCTGGGACCGGCCCGTTGCCCCGGCGGCGGTCCTTGCTCCTGCTGGGGCCTGAACTCACACAGCGTCGCCTTATTTCCATTTATGTGGCTTAAAAAGTGACTCAGGCGCATGCAGGACACTCCCCTTCGCCTTTACGTGTTCCCACAGGGATCGGATGCATCCACCAGTTGCTGCTCATTCACTGCACTACCTGGACAGAAACACTGCGTCCCAATAGTGAGCTCTGCTTCTGAAGCCCTGTGCATTGGTGCTGAAGTGAGTGACAGAGTGAAAACCATTAATGAGATTTACAGGGTCAGTTAGTTCAGGTTTTGTTGAGGTACTGCCAGAGAAAAGAGAAAAAGAGCACGGAAACAGAAGAGAAGAAAATGGAAGTGAGATAAAAGCAGTGACCTGGATCTATGGAGTGAGGAGATAACGGGCAGCAAGAAGGGAGTAGCAGTGATTTGCCCTAAAACAGGATGTTTGCTGTTGCTGTTGTGTTTCTTGTAATAAAAAGAACAAGCAACGAACCAACCAACAAACAAACAAAACCTCACAAACAAAAAACCCCACCTAAATTGAAGCCTACATTCGGTATCTTTTTACAGTGCATGCAACAGAACAATATCAAATGGCCCTTAGCCTGCCTTTGGCAAGAATGCTCTGCTGATGATCCAGTGGAGGATTCCCAGATCAATAAAAGAGATAAAAGAGATCAGTTGCCAGGAGCTCAGCTACTTCTGGTCTTGTATTTCCTTGGTAGGAAGAAACCATTTAATCACTAGGGAGCAGAAAAAAAAAGATAAATGGGTGTAACTCGCCATATATTAATAATGCTTGGAAACAGAAGACTTCTAATAATAAAAGGGTGATATTTCTTGCAGAGGTTTGCTTTCCTTGCTTGTCTGCACAAGACAAACCTCAGCTTAAGATTCTGAGCACTGGTATTTTTCATCCATTCTTCCCATTTCCGTTACTCATTTTGGGGCAAGTTTTTACAGAATTGTTCTGCATGACAAAATGAATCACCAGATGACCTCAGCCTTCCACAGCACAATTCAATCCATGGAGAAGAAGATGGTTGGTGTGAGATTCTCTGTTGTTATTTTTTCTCCCATATAAAGGGATCTGACAAAAGAAAACTGTCTTTAAAAAAAAAAAAATTAAAATAAAAGATTGATTGTCACCAGCAGGAAGTGGAAGTGTTCAAAGCCAGGTTGCATGGGGCTTTGAGCAACCTGGTCTAGTGGAAGGTGTCCCTGCCCATGACAGCAAGTTTGGAATTAGATGATCTTTAAGGTCCCTTTCAACTCAACCCATTCTGTTATTCTATGATCTAAGATTACTAAAAATGAATACTTTAAATTGCACCTTCTTTTCACCCTTTCTGCCAACCCAATCAAGTTTATATTGTTTATGTACTCCTTAGTTTCCTCTATCTCAAAAGCTATCACTGCAAAAACTACCAGTGAATCCTCTGAGGGATTTTTGTTATCTATATAAAAAAAGATTTTTATTACAGTTGCAGACTGAATTTCTCTAAGCAAATATTTTATGCAGTTGAGTCATTTGTAAGAACTATTCTGAACATAACTTTTCTTTACTAGAAGATTGCTGTGTATTTCTTGCATAGTTGTAGTTAATAAAGAACAACATACACTGTCTTAAACTAGCTACTAGTTAATTCTTTAATCATTCCTACACTGACATCATCCTGCATTATTACACATCTTTTAATCAATGATGACATAGAATCACAGAATTGTTAATTGGAAAAGACCACCTATATAATTTACCCCAGACACCCTTGCAGTGAAAACATCAAGTTCTGGATTGGATTTGGTTGGGTTTTGTTGTTTGGGTGATTTTTGTTTGGTTTGGGTTCAGTTGGGTTTTTGTTTGCTTGGTTGGTTTGGTTTGGTTTGGTGACTGCAAATAGTTTGGTCACTATCAATGAGTTGCTTCAGCACAATACAGGTGTGGCTGACATCAGAATCAGGCACAGCACTGAGATCTGTCACACACTGGTTTTACTAGTAAAGTTGGTGTTGGAGTGTGCTGTCATTTTCTAAATTAAACTCCTTTCTATTCTGACACTTGGGTGCCATGTCAGTACCTAACAAGAATATGTTTAAAGTTTCATGGAAATCTTCTGAGATGAGGGAGAGAGAATGAACAAAGCTCTCAAAGAACCCACTTTTCTCCCATGCCATCTTCACACACGAGTTTGAAAATCTCCACATTTAGCCCTGCTCAGAGATGTTCAGTTGCCACTGCTTTCCAGGACATTTGCTGGAGACTCCTAGAGCACAACGTGCTTCCAGTTCACTCCTTCACTGGTGCTAGGAGGAGAAGCCACTCCAGCAAGCAGCTGGGTTGTCTGTATGCCTGATAGCAAAAATTAGCAGATTTGCCTCTGGTAACCCAGGACGTCTGTGACTGAGCCAGAAATAGAACCTCACACTGTTACTCCTGTGACTTCATCACGAGCTGCCTCTCAGTACCACGAGCGACTCACAGCGTCAGCTGGGTTGGGTGGTTGTAGAGCAGACTTTAGAAGGAGGAAGCAACCAAGAAACTTCGATCTCTGTGTCCATATAAAAAAATCTCCCACTAATACACAGTCTAAGCATAGCTCCAAAATGTTATAAAACAGAATTATATTAAGGGTTGTGCATTCAGGACTTTATAAATTATCATATTTCCCATGGCTGGACAGCTTATGTTCTAGAAAACTAATTCTTCTTAAAGCCAAAACTACATGTTGGACTAAGAACTAACTTTCTTCCTTTCTTTCTTCCTGTCTTTCTTTTTCTCTCTCTTCCTCTCTTTCTTTCTTTCCCTCTAAGCAAAATCACTCACTTATGTAAGAAGTACTTCTGAGGTAACTTTCTTTTGGATTAAATCCGTCACCACACAGGCCGATTAGAAGGTCCTGACAGGGAAGTTAAACACTTTAAAAAAACCCAAACCAAACCACCAGGTACTTTTTAATATTACCTTAAAGACATTTAAGTTGAACGAGTTTTTTGTGCAGCCAGCCAGGGGATGGCAGTATTCAACCCATCATTCACTTGCTCCTGGCTAGAAAGTGGTTGTGTAGGTCAGCTGCCTCTCAATAACTGATCACATCAGTATCTAAGGAAAGAATATCTCAGCAGTGCACAAATTAGTTTCCTGAGTCAAACCCACAGTGACAACCATCTGCATGAAGCAAGGTTGTATCACTTTTATTTATGAATTGAAACTATGCGAGTTTCCTGCTGTCCCTTGGAACAGATCTCAGTGTTCTATTTCAAAATGAAAAACAACTCTGAGGTTTGATTTTTTCTATAGACTGTACAACCTAGAGTAGAGAGATATATAGTCTCAACAGGGAAAGCTACCTTAGCTTTTAAATTACTTGAGCAGTACATAACACACAGACATAGCTCCTGGAATGGCATTACCAAGCCCCAAGCAGAACCATAACTAAGATTCTTCCTTTCACATACTCCAACACAATTCATATTCAAATCTTCCAACCATCTTCCTCCCCGGCCTAATCCTGAAGCTTCCAGAGAAGCTTGCCTATGCACACTGGTTTCCAGGCTTTAAAGAATACCCCTTTTAAATGTAGTTGGTTATGATGCTGCAATTTCTGTGCACTAAAGTTGATTCACTTCAAATCCACTTTAGCTAAATGACAATAAACCCAGAACAAACAAATGAGCTGGCTCTACACAGTCCTTGTCACCAGTTTTCCCTGAATTGATTTTCAAAGGTGTCATATGACTTGTTCAGGTAAGGGTTTTCTCTTTCCTTGCCATGACCAGTTCTAAGAAGAAAGTTTTTGTAAGAGTAGAGCAAATGTAGGCAGGTAACATATGGGGTAAAGCCTAGAAGCTTGCAGGGTGCAGAGGGAAGTGTAACTCCTCTGCAAGAGGGAGATATAGGAAAATTAATCACTCAAAATCTCTTTCTAATGTCTCAACATTGTATCTTTTGCATAGAATGAGATAACTAATACTGGCTTAAAACTGTATCTGCAAAACGACTCTGTATTTTGTTGTTGCTTCTGTAAACATCAAACCCCACATCTGAAGCAAGGTGTTCAGTCTCCCATATTCTTTGTAGCAATGATTTCCACAGTTTTATTGTTCACTCTGTAAAAGGGAATAATTTCTTTCATCCACTGTGTAAAACTGAATCATCCTTTTATCAGTTTTGGCTTTGGCATGTTTAATTAACATGACAAGACACTTCTTCATAACATGAGAACGTTGCCAGAGTGATTTCCTTAACATCAGTTTTCCAGCCTCCTTTCCTAGAGGAAATACAACTTACTGCTCATTCTCAGAGTAACTCTTCATACTGCTCCAGTACAGTGCTCAATCTCAGCAGGCAGGATATTCCACAATGGCAAAAGACCCTCTGCCTGCATCCCAAGCCCCATGTATGTCCTATGATCATCACCCATCATATTTACAACCATACCGCCCCGGGAGAAGAGATAGAAGTGTCTGTTTCTAACATGGGGCATGAGAGATAAAAAATGTATTATGTTTTACATTTATGTTGGGAAGATTGCAAGATACAAAACCAACACTGAAAATAGAGGGAGTATTTGAGTGAATGGCTACTCTACCTTGAATTCCTCTGGAGATCTTGAAGGCAGAACAGCCAAGTGCTGGGAAGTGCTGGTACCTCCAGCAGCACACGGGTGAGGTGCTGGCACCCTTGGGAGCCTTGGTACCGTGCTGAGACATGGGCACAGTGTTCTTGCTGGGCAAACACGTACAAGCCAGTGCTAAACCAGGGAAAAGCCAGACATAAACCTTCACGCGCTATTTCTCATAAGCAGTGGCGGATGAGCTACCTGTATTGCAGGACAAAGGAAAACACGGTATTGTATCCCAACCAGGCCTTCGCACTGCCCGAGCGAGGCAGCTGCTGAGGGGCAACCTTTTCTCTCTGGTATGTTTTTAATACACTGCACACACATGATGCCCACAGGCCGAGGATGCCGGGTCCAGGCCGGTGCAGCCGAGGCCGGGCGTGCAGGGGCAGCCCGGGGCTGTGCGGACCCTCAAGGGCAAAGAGCCGGGCGGGAAGAGC